ATCCCGCTTAACATATCCTCTTATCCGCAGGGAACAAGACTATACCGTTTCCAGAAGTACCACCGCGCTTCCTCGCAAAACGCCTTGGCATCGCCTGCACAGAAACATCACTCTAACTTGAAACCACGCAATCCGCGGAAAATTTGTCGCTAGACTTGTAGTTACAGTAGTTTGACTCGCTAAAAAAAACTTCACAACCACTTAATAGTTGGCGCTCAGGAGATACCTGGTTGTCGCGCAGTAAACGTCAGCGCTGAAACAGATCTACTCTCTTGTAGAGCGAGCGCCTGGCGTTTTGGAGTCTATTCCGTGTGATATTCGCTTTCGTGGAAGTGACCTGCTCCCGGAAATGGATCCGAGGGAGAATCTACCGCAGTGACAAGATTCATTGAAAACCCGGGTATTCGCCCGAGTAGCCCGAGTATTCAATGGTGATGTGAAAAAGGATATCGTATCAAGTGGGTATCGTCGCGATTAGTCGGGACGCTGTCAGGATAGGAAGAATGAGCCTACCTCCGGGTGCCTTTTCCCCCAATAGTGATCAGCTAGTAATCGAATCAGGAGAAAAACAGCCATAGGTGTTTGTGGCTGGCTCATTCCAAGCTTATTAACACCACTCCCGCTGATTGCGAGATCAGCTGTAATGCCCAGCTGTGTTTTAGCCGATGAATTTCTGAAAAAGCTAGTTGGGAAAATCTGGGAAAATCAGGGACACAACTACAAAAACTCATTCTCGGTGTTCCTCATGCGGCGAACATTTCCAGGATACTATCATTCGGCGATGGGAGAGCTCGGGATTGATGCGATCAAAAATTCTGCTGCAAATCCCGTCCTATGGAATGGAACAACTGCTGGTAAACCGTTCAGACGTCGGCATTGGAAGACCTACGGAGAAAGAGTACGCTGTTATAGGACAAGCAGAGGTGAGTTGTTGCTCAGACATGGCACACATCATCCCAACGAAGACTGAGTCACTTACTATGTAATAGTGAATTATGCCATTGTGGAAAGCGCAGCAGGAATACTGCCAATCGGCTTTAATGACGACCTTTGTAGGATACTTGTTTCAGTTGTGTCAACGTCTCAAGTATGCAGGAACAGTTCGAGAAACCCATTGGGATTCGATGAGCGTAAATGCATGGACGACTGGAGGAAGGTGGATTAGCATCGACGACGGCAGCATACAGTCCAAATACAAGGTAAGTGCTGAATTGTCGCTTGTGGAGGCTATCTAACGTAATGGACAGACTAGTGGTGACTTCAAGCAACAGTGAATGTGCGTCATCACTATATATAAGTTAGCCGCGATGCAGTCTCTGTTGAATCTTCATCTTCATACTGCAATAGGTGGAAATCCGTCCGTGCGGTAATGTCAGTGGTCTACTTTCCAAACATAGACAAATGGGTCAATGTTAACACAGTGATAGCTCTAGTCCGTGATGGCCACTGCAAAACGCCGAACTTTCACCTTCACTTCCAATTTTCTTCACTAATCGACTTTTCCAGTCCTACTTCACTACAAAAATCATTGCCGCTGATACCGGCAATCGCAAGTGGTCTCCTCCTGCAGAAATAGCATTTCGGAGTTCTCAGTACTGATAAGGTCCCTTTGATATGCGCATCTATAATTCAACATCACCACGAATGTCGGTCGCAATCACGTTCTCATCTCGGCGGTTTCATCATTGTTCGTTTCCTCCTGAATCGATCGTCTAACCCCCGATCGCCACTGTCCCCCCCCCCCCACTTGGATGGGCAATCTTTGTCAGTGCAAACCCAGGGAAGCCAAGGGTTTTTTAGCGCACCCCCCCCCCCGCTGAGTGTTCTCATTTTTTGCTTTTCTTGAACACAGCAGCTCCCTCTCCACCACCCTTTTCCAAGCATAGCGATTGTTCAGCCTGCATTCGGTAGTGTTTTACCCCCGTCCCATCAGAATAGTCCGATTCAAAGACAAACTCCCATGAACATCAATGGCGAAGAACTCACAACGACTGGGGGGTATCGCAAGTCTGAGGTAAACAGGCCTACCAAAAAAGGAAGGCACAGTAGTTTGTTTCTGGCGCTCGCCGCCAGCACGGAGAATGTTGTTACTAATGAAGGCTCCCTGGTAAGTTGCTCATGACATGCTTCCAAACGATCACAAATTCAGATGCGATATTCACTGCGAGAAGGACTAGCCGGCGTTGGTCTGATGTCGTTGAACGAAGACGATCACATGGGCAAGTGTGGATCCGGAGCCTTCCCAATATTGCGTTCAATTACTGCGAAATGTCATTGATTTATTATTTAATAAATTTTTGATGGCTGAGCATTCATTTTATATTGTATTTCAATGTCCTTACACAGCAGATGATTCCTCTGTACCAATGGCTTTATCATAGACTATAGAACATACAAACAAAACAAAAAAAACAATTCAAAAAAACAGGATCTTCAGAACACGTAGGAAATAAGAGATCGAAAATTTCTATACACCGGAAACAGAATTAGTTAAAGTTGGATTTGGATGAAGCTTTAAGCCAACGTCTAGCAGACCATAGTGAAAATCATTTATAGCTTCATTTGCAGAAATACTACTCCGTGGCCCAGAGATGGTGTGGGCGTGGCTGCGTACTTCATTCATTCATGGTATAGGACCTGTCATTCGCAAAATATTTCCTTTTTGAGACAACCGCTATCCTCTATTGGGCTGGACAAGGACATAATCACAAATATCCTCAAACGGTAATATCCCACCAAGAGGGCAACCAAAGCCACATTTGGACGACGTACGCAGCTACACCCTTTCCATCTCCAGGATATGGGGTGATAAATAGCTGGGATCAATTGTCAGAAACATCGCTATGCGCAGGGGAAGCCTGTTCCGTGGAGGTGCCAAACGGACAGAAACTGTTCTGCTCTTCCATTTCGACTTCTGGTACAGACGTAAGTTGCTTCTCTGAAAAGCAGGGTAAGAACGTGAGGCTCGATTGCAGACAGAAGAACCTCACAATCATCGCCTCTGCTATCCAAATTCTTAGCCCGCTGTACCATCCCCTTTAGCAGGTGACTGCTTGGTCTTGATGCGGCTTCACCTGCTGAAAGTGAGGTGCGCGTTCGAGTCCCGTCAAGACTGTTGCCCAATATTCAGGTGAGCTTCCTAAGATAATTCGATAACGGTGAGCAATACCTTGGAACTGAAGAGATCTCCGTTTCTTGGCTTCTTTCCGTCGCTGATAACGAGTCTTCTTCGCTCCTATCTGCGATTTATCCCCGCCCTGAAAATGGACTCTTTAGAAGAGAAATAAGTTGCAAGATAGTACAGACACACTGGAAGCATTGTTTCTTGGCTGAAAAACTTGGTCCCGCAGGCTCACTTGTTAAAAGTTATGGAACATTACCGATCAATGGTAATTAGTATACGCCCCGCGTATCACTTCGCACTTTCATACAAAACAGCGACAGTCCCTCGGTACCTTTCGAATGCTTGTTTCACTCTACCCTTATCCTAATGGAGTCCGAGCAGATACTCCCCCGGACACGTATGAGCTAGA